GAAAATGATTCACAGTATACAATTTTGACGTACGATAGTCATGTACACGTATAAATATTTATTATTATTAGCATGAGAGAGATAAATACTGATTAAGGCTTGCGATATAGTATACGAGGAATGATGAATGGTCAGGTAGTTAATCACCAACTGATTAAAGCGCGCAATCACCTCTAATCCACGTAGACAAACCTTCACTTTAGCGAACCGAATCATTACATAATGCGAACTTCAATCAGATTTACACAATGTATAGTAATTACATCAATATACATATATACATATACACATGAATATATGTATATATTTATTATCTATTATAATAATCGTATATATCAAATGTCTCAATTCAAAGATTGAAAACATATATTCTATGATCTCGCAAGTGAAAGCATATATGATTATGTACGAAATGCACCGATTTAAAATCCAAGTAACTGAAGGGCTTGAAGAAAGATTAGTGTATAGATTCTTAAAATACCCTTAAAAAGCAACATAGAAAGTAAAGATGTTAAAGAATATCTCACATGATGTCAAACGGAAAATACCGCACTATTTATTTATTTTTCTCAAAAATTTAGAACTAAGTATTCTAAAACTCTAAAATTATAGAAACTAAAAATGTTCAAATCTAATCTAAATCATTTAATCTTATCATTTTTCCGAAAAATCACAATACGTTAATATTATTCTGAAATTGGACTCGTGAATTTTATATCGGACAAAAGTGATCTTTAGATTATTAAGTAACCGAGGTTTGTTTAAGATTCTTGATTTCCTCTTATATTATACAAAGCTCTTAGAACTTTCTCAGAACAGATCTTTGCCCGCGTTAAAACGCGTGTAATCGCGCAGCTTTAATGACGAGCGTTTCAGTCGACTGAAGTTCTAGAACGTGCGAGAACGGCGCGCATCCGCGGTGCAAAGTCACACCTCACTGCCGACGCAAAGTGGACTAACCCCTTAATTGGAAACGTTGAATGAATTCGAGTACGGTGGGGAAGGGAACGAATACGAGACGGGGAGGAAATGCGGGGCAAGGCAATATGACTGCCATTGTTGGAAACTGTAGCGCTCCGATGCCGTACAGGAAATCCTCGCAATGCGCAGCCACCCGCGCTCCTGCAGGTCGCTCCCGTTCACGTGTTTGTCAATGACACTTTTTTTATTCCCACCAATTATAATTATCATACTTTTCTCTATTCTAAAACTGCGAAAACTTTCCTTCTAAGTACGCCCATATTGTACGAAATTTAAGGCTGCATTGATATTAAGATTAACGTTTGTAGCAATAAGAACATATTATGATTATAGCCTGAACAGTAAGAAAAATCATATTTACCAATCGTTCTTTCAAATGAATCTGTGAAGCGAGCGCAGCATTCTTTTAATATAAACAAAAAATTATAATATAGTTTCAGTAGCCGCATTTTTTAGAATAAACTTTTTTAATGCTGCGCACATAAAATTTATAATCGTGTAATATATTTACATGCAAATCTTGAAACCAAAAATGCATTTAATCAGGAGATATCGTTTGCTTATATAAACTAAATATCGGATATCATTATTTTGAGTGACGCATTAATTACCATTGATTAATGCTATTTCTTGAACGCCGTCGAGTTTATTTAATTGAATCTGTTAGCCGCCGTAAATACGATACACGACATGAATTTTAATTCTGTACGTTGGCTTTCGCCACTTGTCGCACGCTTAATGATGTTATTTGGAGCTGTCTGAACGAGCAGCTTATCAGATCAAGGGATTTAAAGAATTATTTTCTTAAATAGTTTCGTGTTACATAAGTATATTTTAGGATTTCTGATCTTTTTTGGATTCTAAAAATATAGCTGCTAATGATAGGATTTGCTAATGAAACGTTATAAGATTATACAAATATAAAATTAAATTATCAAAAATAAATTTAAAAATATAAGCATTCACGAATCATTTTAAATAATAAGTAGCAAACTAATTGAAAAATGCAAAAATTTCAAATTTAAAATTAAAAACTTGTGCTAAGTTTCTTGCAATATCGATAACAATACGAGCTATTTAATTAGAATTAATAAGAATTAATAAGAACCGTAATAATACGATAAATGCATGGCGCTATAATTATTCAATGTAATTCAATGTAAATTATGTAATTAATAATCATTAAATCTCAGTGATATTATGATATCTAAAAATCTATACTTTTCGTATATACACGATTTATCGTCGAAAAAAATATTCTCGTCATGTTTATCAGTATAATTAAAACTAATGGAACTTGTAAGTGAGAGAAGTTACAATCATTTTTTACCCCTTCCATTTGCTTATCTAGCGCATTTATCCTATCATCCTTCGCCGGTCTTTCAAGACTTCTTGAAATATTAAAGAGTTAAAGCATGCCGCTTGCCATCGAAATCAAGTGAGAACCGTTGGTCGATTCTATTTTAACGCGATCTCGAGATTCACGTCGCGCGTGGCGGCGAGCTGCCGCTTCGAGCAAACTCGGCGAACGGTGCAAGTTAAAACGCATCTAAACTCGGCGAACTGCGCGAAACGCGGGACTCAAAGACTGCCGATAACGAACATTATCGAGCGACACGTAGCGTAAACATTTATGCTCGCATCAACGCGATCCTCTCGCGTCCCAGCCCCGCTGTTCGCCTCGTCCTCTTGTTCTACCTTGCAGTAGTAGTCTCCGACGGCCCCGGCCGGTGCCCGAACAAACGATACGAGCAGCACGTGCGTCCGACAGGAGAAAACGACGAAGCATCTGGCGCGAACGACCGCCAGCAGAACGGTAGGGGAGGGGAGGAGAGGAGAGGAGAGGTGTAATGGGAACGATGCGCTGGATGCACTCCGCGTCGCGTCGCGTTGCGTCGCGTCGTCGCGGATGGATTCCACGGCGATCCGGAGCATGTGAAGCATTGGATGCAGCTGTTATATGTAAACGCTACGCTATCGCAAAACGGAAATGTCGAAGGTAATAACCCTCGGGTTCTATTATAGGAGAAGTAGCCGCTACACTATTATTAATAGCATTATAGAAAACTGCAATCGTAACTCCAATCCGCGTTTTCACTCTTTACGACTAGTATAAAGTGACGCTTATCTAGTTTTATCTTTTTTTTTTTTTTATTATTTATATTATGGGTAATTTTGACGTATATATGAGTTCCTTGACTGCTCAGCTTCATATTCATGTCTGAATATGTTACATACACTACTTTCGTACTGTAACTAAACTTTTATGTAATAATATTGACGTTAAGAGTCTTCTGAAAAGAAAACATCAAATTTGTTTATTAACGAAGAAAACAATTTTTATTTCTTTTCACGATAAGAGATTATTTTACCAATAGCCAACTGTCGGATGCTTCTAACGTTAACATAATACAGAAATGGCCAATGCGTGTAGAATATAGTATCTCGAATACAAACATTTCTGTTTCGTGAAACGAAAGCATCGTAAAAATCGCCACGTGCAATCTGGGAGAAATCGTGATTGCGCTAAGTAACGTCGGACAAATCGTAATGCAGCTTAAACGCTCGATGCACTCGGCAGAGGCACTACAGCGAATTGGAGCGTGCGAAGCAATAACGGTGTATCTTCAATGCAAGCATTTCAATTTCGTGAATGAAAGTGTGTTGTAAATATCAACTTGCGAAGATTATCACGCGCTATTTGAGATAAATCACGACATTATTAAACGGCATCAGTAGCAGCGTAATTCAAACGACGCGTATGATGCACTCCACGAGGATGCATCACGTTGATTCTAGCACGAAGAGCATTGAAATATACACATAAACGTGAAAGAAAGTGAATGGATCGGAGAAATCTTGTGATAATAATAAGCTAGAAGAGGATTATATCTTCTGTCGGTTTATGAAGAGTTCATATATCTCAATTAAATTGGAATAATAAAAATGAAGTTAATTATAAAACTCTCTGTAGAGAACTATTATATATTTTTATTTTGGAATTTAAACGATAATATCCTAAACCCTTTCTTTTAGGTTTATGGCACATTTTTTCTCGGGGCTATTTCTCTTCTAAAATTCCATTTTCCGCGTTCGTTCGAAATGGCCGATAACAAATCAAAGAATTGCTATCATAAATCGTAACGCAGGTCAAGTCCGCAACTCGTCCTAGTTTTCCTACATCGCGTTATAAGAAAGAATTTGTTGATATTTGAAGGTGAAGGAAAAACTGATGTAAATAACATCATATCAATATGTAAGGATATTCGGAACATAAAAAAAAATAAATAACGCGATATCTTCTGTTTGACAGGACATTTAGCTTATCTTGGGTCTTGTTTAAAGAACAAAATATCAAAGGTCAGTACAAGCGACAACTATACATTAGTATAAAAAGAGTATTTCAATATTAATATATTTGTATTTATATATTTGTTGTAAATATACTCTCTAAAATTTTTAGAATGAATCTTATTTTTAAAAATTGAAAATTGAATCACTCTTTTTCAAGACACATTTTTCACTCTTTAGAGTTCAGAATGAGATTCCATTCCAAAGAATTTAAAAAATAGATTTGTTAATAACTGCATATATATATAATATAAAATTATTATATAACTCATGTATTAATGTTATATTTATATCAGTTATATCTCTCTTTGTAGCAATTAATATTCGCGCGTGTCTCAGATGCTTTTCAAATCGGCGAAAATGGCATAAATACTTAAATCATATAAATATTTTGACAACATACGTCGCATTGTACACATTATATACATTCAGCAACAATTGATCACCACATCCACAAAGCCGACACTTGATCAATAAACACGAAGCGCCAAAGGTCGAGATATTCTATAATTTTATCGAATTCGATTTGTCATCTTTTTTTAATGACATGATGATTCTAATTAATCATTAATCCCTACGTAATGTATATATCTACATATTTAACAATTTTTTCACAATTCCGACACACACACACACACACACACACACACACAAAACACATACAATATGAACTATTTTTTTTATCTGGAGAAGCTTCGGCTTATCTTTCGTTGACGCATGCGAGGCTGGGAAGGGTAAAAAAGGAAGAGAGGAAAAAAGAACCACGGTCGTGACGACGGTTTGCCCGATAAGGGAAGAGGCACCGACTGTTATGAGATGCTTTCTAACGTACGCATATCGGCACAAGGCGCCTCTTGTTCGAGATCTGCGAGCCGGCAAAACGAGATGCTCGCGGATAAGAGTGTTCGTCGACCGTGCGAACGACTGCCGGTGCATACATATTCAAAACCACGTTCACCGTCTCTCGTCGTCGACCCGTCCGCGTTCATTCCCTTCGAACTTTTCTCTGTGCGCGGAAGTGTTGCAGGATATACAGGATGTCCCGGAATTACCGTCATTTCTCTCGATCCTAAGAATTGAACTAACCAGGGTAAGCAGAACACTCGTTTTGACGTCGGATTATCGGCAGTTACCAAATCTTAGAACATACGAAACAGGAACTGTAAGGCCATACGATTAGTAAATAAAACTTTACAAGTTTCTAAATTTACTCGAATTCTTAAATATTTAAATTCTGAAATTTTCGAGTGCGCGCGCATAGATTCTCGTTTTCGGAACTTTTGGAATAAATTCGCGATTTCTTTTACAACTAAATTTTTACTTTTCTGGAACAATGAATAATTTTATGTCTAGTAGAAAATAAAGAACGATTTGATAATAATTGATATAAAATCATATTATCAAAAGAAAATATAAAATATTTTTTTCTATCTTTTTCTTTTTCTTTATCTATTTTTGAATGGAAAAGAGATTTTACAAGAGTAACGATATAACAAAGAGCTATATTAAATTCTATTGACTCGTGTCATAATCAAATGCATATAAAGCTTTACAGTAATATGTATATTACCGCTCTATATATGTATAAAAAAAATTAAATATTCTTCAGGTCTATATTTGTAATATCAATAAACATTCTTCATAGGAAAAGCATCTGGCGGTGAAGGCAATGACGATAAACCGCCGTGAGGGAAAAAATATTTATTAAAACACCCGCTAAATTGTAAACGACATCCATCTACGAATAATATTTCTGATGCCGTGACAGTTCACGTATTCGTTCACAAATGCACCGGCCAAAATTTGCCGTACCACATCGGACTGCATATTTTGGTAAAATATAGCGGAAATAACATTTGCCCGCGCGCCTGATCAAAACAAACTATGACTTGCGTTAATATTTCAGGAAAATAAAAGAGAGGATATTTATTTTGTTCATCGATATTTTGAATTTCCCAGTTATAGAGAGCGATGAAACTTCACACTCACAATTGTTGACAATTGTTGTGCAATTTAAAAGTACTATTGCTACGATATAAAATTGTTGCATATTTATGAATCGTAAAAATAGATAATGTAAATAATTCAAATTAAATACATTATACATACATATATGCATATAACTTCACTTGTAAGTATAATTATGTTAAATTGTCCAATAAAAAAATTAGTTATAAATAAATTCCGAATTTCATTCTACCAAACGTGCATTGCAGTAAATAAATTACGAGGAAAAAATGCACAAAAGCATCCTAAATTCCATGTATTTTCATTCATTTATGGATTCTTTTAGCAATTTAAAAATAATTTCGCCTGAGCGTTAATTTGATTAAATTTAATTTGTTCAATATTGTCGGCGCAATTGAGTTATTACGCACTTGTTGAAATTAACCTAAAAATACGTCGAACAGAAGAGATACTCATCCATACGAAATGCGTCATCCATGTTAATACGCAACTTAAAGCCCGTCCAATTCAACCCAGACCTACCTAACGTACTATTTATAATCCGCTCTAGAGTGGTACTAATTGGCGTTGTTTAGGGATGACAATGTCGCTGTTCTGTGACTAATCGACCGACGTCTCATTTCGCCCCACATTAAGCTCGCGCACGCGAAGCGGCGCGTGACGAACTTTGTTATTGTGATCTTATCATAAAATACATAATTCACGATAATTAAAAATCAATCTAGTCATTTTGCAAATCCGAGAAAAATTAATTGACATTTGCAAATCAAATGAAAAAAATATTCATCTTAGATCAGATATCAAGTATTTCCTTGAAAAAATAATCTACGATATGAAAATAATATATGATATTTTTTTGTGAAAATTTCTCGTAAAAGAGACGCATTTATTCACATGAAATGTACATATAGATTACATCCTTAGTGGTGAAAGATTGATCAAGGCTTCATACTATAAATTATTAAAGCGTTATTTTCACGGGCAGTAGCTAAGTTTAATGTCTTCTCATCCGAAGTTCGCGGGTTAACGTGCTCGGTGAAATTTGTCGGCGAATTTTTGCCGTTATTTTTCCATGTCGGCTCGTAGCTCTATCTCCGTCACTATGCTTGGTCGCCCATTAAAACGGCCGGGTGCAATTACGTTTAAAAATAGCGAGAGAGTCGAGAGTAGAGTCTGTTGCGCTGACGACGACGACGACGACGACGACGACGATGACGACGACGACACGACGACGACGAGGACAACGACAACGACGAAAAGAACCAAGACGACGACAACGAGAATGACGACGACAACGGCAAAGAGGACAACGACGACGGGAAACCTCAGAGGTTTCGCTCGTCCGCACTTTGCGATCGATTTGCTGCGAGAGTCGATAGTGTGTGTGCTCGGTCATGTTTGGCATATCATTGTCGCAAAAAGGTAAAAAGGTCGATGCTAATCTCTAATCTCTATTCGTCATATTCATTTTTTATTTGAAAAAATTATTCAATGAAAACTTATTATTATAAATAAATCTTTTGCCAAACGTGAATCGCACTAATGTAAATAAATTATGAGAAAAATATGATAGAAAAATTAAAGCATCCTTAAATACGCATTTTATTCATTTGTAGGTTCTTCAAACATTTAAAAAATCAATTTTCTTCTTTAATTCAATTAGATATTATTTTTAATGTTGCAATATATATCTTTCATCCATGTTAACAAATTCTTTAAAATATTATGTTGCGAACATACATCATAGAACATAAAATCTGCTTAAAATCAATGAAAATGACAATAAAATTTTGTTATCTATACCTATATTTTCCTGGAATTTAATAAATTTAAAAAATTTAAATTTTCAATCATTTACAATAAAAATCTATCGATATGTTTCCTACATTTGAAAAAATATTTATATTCGATTTTATTGTAGGAAAATACATAAGATAACCAAAAATCCTATATGGCCTATTTAAGGTTTGCGATTTTTTTCAAATTTATTGCCGAGATTTAAAACTGATGATCAGAAGATTCAAAGAAGAAAACATTTTTGATCATTAAAAAAAATATGACATTTTCAGATATTTACATATGTAGATGCAGTGAAGATATTAAAAGAATAGTAGCATTTAGTGCATATGCACACAATGTACATTTATTCATATTATTTATTATTAAATTCACCGTAATTACTCATAAACAGCGAATAAGGCATATTGGATTAAATCATATAAGGTATAATATCTAAAATAAAAGCAAATATGTCTTTTCTATTACTTGTATTCTTCTAATCAAGAAACTAGCAAAACTTCTAAAAAATTAACGAGATATATGATGAATTGCTTCGTATCGAGAATGCGTTTATTCAAGCCGCAATTTCTTAGCTACAGCGATTATTGTAAACCTCGTACATTAATTCTCAGCGAGAGTGACGAAAATCAGGCGGAAACTGACGCCTACTTGTAAGCCATGATATATATTATAGTGTGTACGTTGTTTCCACAACCTCTGGACCAGTCCCAAAGAGTCAGTTTAATGTTTAGATCGCTGAAGATGTGGCGCTTGTTAGAAGAAACACGCTCACACGATATCGCGATTTTCAATGCACTTGACCGAAATTTACGTAAAGCTCAATTTTTAATTTTACCTAGTATAATAAGATATACGATAAAACATATATTATGCAATAGTGATTATTACAGTAATAATCATGCGTTTATATCGTATAATTAATTAATAATAGATACGTATTATCTCCGAATATCTTTACTAATTTGAAATAAAATCAATCATATTGAGATAGAACATTGCACTAATACAGATTGTGTTTTACAAAAATAGATAGGATAATACATTAATTATTTAGAATCGCTTGTAAATTAATCTATTGCGTAATGGACAAAATTAACTGAATGTATAAATGTAGATAAAAGAAGCTTACTAAATAAAAATATAAAATGAATAAAATAAAGAAAACTTTTTCCATGAAGATTAATTAGGAAAGTTATGTGTATAAATAGAAAACATTTCTCCCGCTCAACTTACACAATTATCGTTATTGATCAATTTCACAAAGATATTCTATTTGCATTCAATGCTGCAAACAATTTAAACGACAATTATTCGCATCGGACAATACCAGGAATATGCAGTCGAGCCACGGTATCATTCAAACACACCAAGAAAAATATTATTCCAGCGGCTATTGGTTTTTCTGAACCGGATATCATAGCATCGATTCGGAATAAAAAGAATAACGCGCAAATTTTACATACACTTTCGCTTATTATGTATATCATATTTCTCACGCATATGTCAAGAGAGATCGCGTGTGATTTATTAAAGTTTCACATATATGAAATCGCAATAATTGTTCAATATCCTTAAAAGATATTTATTCCTCTTGTGGTTTATAACATTATCGCTTTAAAAAAGATTGAAAAATTTTAAATAAATATTGTAAAATTTATAACGATCTGGTATGTATATAATAACTATAATAAAATTTATTATTAAATAAAAAAAAAATCATTAAAAAATCCGTTTGTCTTATTGCACGAATCGTAAAATTATCATGATGTAAAGAAAAGTAACGAACAAAAAGCAATAATTAAATTACACTTACATATTACATGTATATGAATAAAATGTATTGTCTAGTAAAAATCTCAACATGGCATATTTCAACATGGCCCACAAGACATAAATCGATAGCGCAATAAGACAACTAAGGCGTGCAGCTCAATTGACCTTATTCCAGAAACTAAACAAGATATTTAATACAAAACAGAGAAGCAAAAGAGAAAACAGAAACCTCAATCATGAAACGCGTGCCTTCCAATTATGTAGAAGGTAAACGGATAATTTACAAACTTGATGAATGTATATAATATGCAGACAACTTATTCAATACAAGTAACTTTGAAAATGAAACACGGATTCTCTATGAGCTCCATTTTCCGCTATAAGATATAAAATCCGGTGAGAGAGCTTTGGTTACTGACCTCATTTTCACATAATTTAGTACACAACCTTTTCAAAACATGACGGCAGGAGTGTAAATTAAACGAAAGTTGATCTGCTGATTCATGTTGCCAGACCGGCAGCTTTTATCGTCTTACAACGCCCAACATGAGGTTTCGCGGACCTCACGTTTTGCTTGAAAAGTTACGTATACCAGCGTCCTGCGCGCCCGCAAAGTTTATAAAAGTTATTCGTCTACATCCTGTAAATGACTTGAAGAGAAAGAACGAATTGTAGCACGAAAAAGCGAAGCATGGAACAAGCAAGCAAGATGGCGAGAAACGAGAGAGATGATGACACGACTTACGTAACGCTCTCTTTGGAACAAACTCATTACTAAAGAACAGTATGAAAAGAACCAATATGTTTCGTATCTTTTAGAAAATAAAAATATACATTATATGTTATATGTACACAAAATTTTATAATATGACGAATTACGTATCTTAAATATAAAAAGTTAAAAAATAATAATATATATTATATTATTATTATATATTATATTACTATATATAATAATAGTAACACATTTGGTACAATAATAATTAATAATAATTTTTTATCTTATACGTTATAATATCATTATTATTAAATTATTATATCTTTGTTATATGAATTATGTATTACGAATATTTATTATGAGAAGCAAATATCTTTAAGAATTAATATATACCAATTTCAACAATGTTTATGTTATAAACTATAATAAATAGCAATGTGGCAAAACGTAATTCTTACTGAGATCCTTGGTAACATCTTCAATAAACATAGCGCGAATATAGGTGACAAGAATAAATAAGATTAATACACGCGCGCGGACATCACATCGACTTAATTAGATATCGCGAAAAAGCCGCAAATACATGACCGCCATAAATATTCTGTAAAATGCGACCATATACAAGCATCTCTATTCGTTCATTCCGTATGAGTTTTCCCTACGATATTATTACATGATGTATCGTTATTTATCATATATGATGAATAAAAAACGGAAGAAAAAATTAAGATCTGCCGAGATTAGGTTTAGGTTTTTTTCTTGCCATTTCTATTTTTTTTTTTAATCTAAAAATACGTTTCAATTTTTTGCTTTAAATGATAAGAAAAAGAAACGTATGAAGATAATACAAAACAATAATAACTATATTTCATCATTTATAACATTAAAGTATATCATCAAATCATATCATTATTTGGTGATATACATACTCTTTTTTGTTATAAATAATAAAATATCATATCATTACAGTTTGAAACGGATTTGGTAAATTTGCGAAAATTTAAATGTGCAATGAAAGTTTAGATTTCCATCAATTTCTCATATATAATACTTCTCGATATATTTTATATAAAGTAATACCGAATTCTATTATTTGAGCTTTTTCATCATTTATATTGCGCGAGAGGTAAACAGCTGAGGACATTGCGGTGTACAGATTTGGGGCATTACTGCGGGCATTACTTGAAAGAATTGTATATTATAACAGCAGTATGAGATTATACATTACTAGAGCATTAATAGGACGTTACTAGGGCGTTAACGAGTATTAATAAAATATTAGTGGATATAAAAATTGAACATTACTTGGGCATTAGTACTATTAATAGGCATTGATGTAAACAATTTTGGTCAGTGGTTTACTTCTTGATATTGCTTGTTTCTTCCGTATCAAAGAGACATTTCTTTAAAGATACTTTACGCAAATGCTTCGCATAGAAAAGTATAAAAAATATGCAGATTTCTATATACCGCTGTTGAAATCACAAATATATGTTAACGGAGGCAATCTTTTAGCCTTTGTACAAAGCTTGTATAAATTTGTAAAAATATATTTGTATAAATATGTATAACTACGTCATACAACGAAAAACTTGACATTAAGTTCTACCATATTTTTCACATATAATATTTCTCTTCTTACATAAAAAGGTACTTTTCAGAGGTGATGTATAGTAACGTTCGCTGTCATAAAATAAGGAAATACATCAAGTTATAAGACAGTAGAAAAAATTTCATATTTTCCAAAGTTTTAAAAAATATACTTTGCAGCTTTTTATAAGTGACATTTTTGACAATATTTTCCATCACTAAATAAATCACATTTTTGAAATATTTTCTATCACGAAATAGGAACGTATCAAAACAATCAATCATGACAATTTTTTAATTATTGCGAAAATTCACTGCAGTGTCTGTTTTCTTAGATTTTTTAAAAATACTATAAAAAAATATTATTAAAATATATATGTTATACTTTTCAATTAATATAAAATGACTTTTACTTCAATAAAAATTTTATTTTATCGGCTTAACCAATTAATATTTAACAATAGAAGCAAAATGCATATGCAATGTATAATATATGGCATCAAACTTCGTTAAAGAAGAATTCAGTCGTCGGAGCATCCGTTAGTCAGATTCCCGTTAATAATGATACTTCTCTTCACAAAAAAAGCTGTTTTTCGACTTCTTGATAATGATACATCTCAACGGTGATGCCCAGCAACTCGTGAGAAAAATGTATGTCGACATATAAATCAGTAAATAATAACCGTAAAGACGGAAGGAGCTAATATCCACAATGGACCATTCTCAGATCATTCTCGCAAACGGGACTTCCCGATCGGATGGATGCCGCGCCGCTGGCATCTATCGCGAATAATTATCAATGCAGTTCAATTATGCTATTATGTATTTTGCCACATACCTGGACTGGTCTGCCAAGATAGACCGCCGATGAACATTTTCCTAGAAAAGAAAGACGATTCCATCAGGCTCGTCGTCCAGTCGCGGGTCGTCGGCGGAAGAGGAAGTGGAGACTGCCGGCAGAGGGTAACTTCCGGTACCATTTTGCAACCCCCTGCGCAGTCTCCCATCCTGGGCGGCAGGTGTCACCACATATCAACAATCGAACAACACCCATTTCTTTTTATAACGGAACGCGAATTGCGCGACTTCCTCTCGGACCGGCACCTTCGCTTCACAATCCTCTCCTTTTCACACGCAGTGCCGTAAATCGAACCACATACACATATGATTGATCCAATTGATCAACCGACCAATTCGTTATTTTTTTTCCGTATAGGAGATCCCATCAATCTCGAATTTGCGCCGTCGGAAGAAACCGTGCGATATGTATCTTATCTCTCGAAAGCCACTATCAATACGAATTAACGAAAAAGATAACAAATGTACGTAGCACATGCAATTAAGCAATGACATTTCGAATGAAGAATCCAACCTGCTCACACACTTAGTAATCATTACTTCAATACTTAAGAATTATTGTAGTAGAAAAACTGAATTGATATCGAAAACTTTCACATTTGTATCACTTCAGGGAGTTTTATAGAAAGTGAAGTCTTTTCTATACATTAAACAGAATACAAAAATCCAGGAAACTTGGATGATAATATTAATTACGTTCGTTCGAAAGTTTTCCATCGAGGAACACGTGCTTATCGATCTGCATTTTTCCACAGCAAAAGTGTTATCTGTTTTACAGATCGATGAACGATCTGCACGATTATAAATCATCTATACAAGTGCGATTGCACGCATTTTGCTAACGCTTTAAAGAAGATTCCGACATCATAAAGAGCTCTAGATGAAGACTTCTCACTATCAAGGTCGTCGAACGATAAAAAAAACGATGACCTCTGAGCTTTTTAAATAGACCGCAAACGCGACTACACGAACAGCTCCGCGAATAAACAGGCCGATCCGGAAGACCGGCTGGTATAATCTCTGAGGAAGCGAATTCGCTTCTCTCACGACAGTCAGTGACCATAATCGATTCACGTACGCGTCATTAATTAGCCGGCTTAAGTATCCGTCAGCGTGCGTCGATAAGGAAACGACCTCCCATCCTTTTCATTCATGATCTCGTCCCCCCTTCCACCTCACGGATGAGGAGCGATCCCCACTACTGCTCGCTCTTCATCATCGTCGTCGCAAATAATCGCGCCTCGCATTATTACACGGTGAGATAACGCTCCCGCTTGGTGGACGTAATCACGTGGTGGCGCATTTGAACATCGATTTTCCGAGCCACAATATAGCCATCTTCCTCCCACGCGCGCTCGCCCCTCCTGCCCGTCACTTCTCCCGCCTTCTCTCTGCACAGCCTCTATCCGCCTATCCATCTAGAGCTTCCCAATTGGAAGAATCAAAGTGGGCTATCGTTTCCTAGCTCGTGAACACCGCGAGAATTAAAGAATTGTTATCTATACAAATTATTTTAATGTGGCAATATATATACATATTCTAATTTATCACTAACGTCCATATCACTTAACATTTCAAGTCTCCAATGGAAGCTAATCTTTTTAGAGAAAAATAATTAAGATGTTATCTCGATAAATTCATTCAAAGAAGTTTATCTTTTTATTTATTTGTCAATACAAACAACATAAAATATATTAACATCTTTCTCTCTCGACATTTTACCATTGAATACTATTTGAAGTATGTTGGACATGTAAAAAAAAAACTCAATAAAAAATCTTGTCAGATATTAAATCATGCTTGTATTTATATATCTATCTTTATGAGAAAAAGTATTAAAATTCATATTTCAAATGTTCTTTAAAAATTTAAACATGTAAATAAACATGTAGAATTTCACAGTATAATTTTCATTTTAATTATCTCAAGATACGTTAGAGCACATTTTATATTGATTCGAAAAGCGAATATATAAACTTTATTAAAATACTTAATATTTTGAGTTAGTAACCAAAAGTTACATAGATCACAACAGCATAGCTATGATTATTTTCTTGTGAATACAATTTGTTTCAAAATTAATCTTTAATTGAATATAAAATTTGTATGTAAAACTCGAATTCAAGTAGATTTCCTAATTTGTTAAAGAAATCGTGTCAAATGTGCTTCAAAAAATATTTAATTAAGTCAGAGTAATTAACAAATTCGAATATATATTTATAATCTCTTACAAATATGTGTATATATATATATGTATATATATATATACACGCATTTGTGAACATGCATTTGTCTGGAGTTATTCAGGAGCACATGAACATTACTGTGTTTTCTCAATACTATTAAAGACAAAATTAGCAATTTATAAAGAAATTATTATTTCCTGTGCTACAATATGTAATAAAGTTTTCAGAAAAGAATACCTATATTATTCAGTATAATTAAAAATACAGTTTAACCATATTCAAACAAATTCAAACATCGTTGGATAAATATTTAATCTAGCGAATATTAATCAATCGTATCTTACGCTGGTAATGATTAGTAATATAATTTAATCAATTCATCAGTCACGTACAATCAAGCGAAATCAAGCGAAATATTCTCTAAGAATTGAAGATCTCATTGAATAAGCACAGTAACTATCACAGTGCGCTCTAACCAATACTAATCAATGTGTTATTTCACAATCATCGTAATCAGAGAGATATGACCTGATCAATTCATTAGTCACAACCAAAGCTGTATAAAACCATCACGTATTATCTCAAACAATACAGATATCATCAACAAACCGGACATGTACGATCGGGCGAATGGAATCGATCGGATACCCCACTATCGTTTTAATCAAGGATGTAATCAGTTCGTTAACCACAATCGAAGCTAAATCGAGCTATCGTGTTTTTCATCAAATCTCAAATATGTAAAAATCAAATATAGTTGACATTGAACTAATGTAGCTATCGATCGTGAGAAAAATCTGAAAATCCAATTCAAGAACACTACACATTGTTTATGCGGAGCACCTGGACCGGTACTCTCCATTTCGGGCAATCACGTGACAAGACCACGCGTAATTTCGCCCGGAAGAATCAGTCCACCACGTGGCTATCACAAAGCGTGGTGTCTTCACGTGTGGTATTCCAGTATTTCTTTCGCGAGTCTGCGAAATTGTGTCGGTTGACGGGCAGAATTCGAAGGTGGCGGCATCTCCTCTCCCTCCCACCTTCTTTCCATTCATCTCTCTCCCACCCTCATTCCCATTCGCCCCCGTCGACACGGGGGAGTATACTGAACGTTGAAAGAAGGCGCCACCGGTCCGAGGAGAGGTACGCATATTCACGCGCCCGGCAAACATAAACACCATGCGTGTTTCTGCATCGCGGATTGATACACGACGGTATTTGCATCATTGTCGACGGCCAATCGATTCGGTTCGAAATCATAGCAAAGTGCGCGGATCCATCCGTTTTGGAAGCGACCGACGTTAAAACCAGAGCACTGACACGGAGCAGGATAACAGAAACACAAGCTTTTTCCAAGGACGAGCGATCGTCGCGCGGCATCATATCAACGCACTGAGAATGAAAGCGCTCCATTTTCCCGCCCGTCCTTCCCCACCCCCTCTTTCTGCTTTCGTATTCTCCCACGCATTCACGCATACATACATCCTCTCTTACACTCGCCTCACTCTCTCTCTCTCTCTCTCTCTCCCCCTCCCCTCTCTCCCCCATCTCTCCCTCCCTTTCTATCCGTTCTCTCTCGTGTGGTCGATCGTTGATGGTCGATGTAGTGGAACGTTTCGTGGTTGCCCGGGAATTGTAAACGGAGGCTGCCGTTCACGTGGTGGACAGTGACAACCTCCCGCACCCCTTCATTCGGTTATTTCCTTTCGTACCCTGGATCGTTCGGCACCTCGGCGGGCGAGCCGCTCGCTACGATCTCCTGGTTCTGGGACTCCATAACAGCGCGCGACGCACGATTACTCGTTGTCGTCGTCGTCGTCGCGAGGCTCTCGCGTGCTCGGAGTGGAAGCGACGGCAAGTTCGCTCGAGTCCGAAGTAATGAGTGGCTGTCTAGTGTTGTTGTGGATAAATGATGCTGCTGCAGTTGCGGACGGTGCTCCTCGGTTGCTCAATGCTCGCGACGGTGATCTCGTCGCCGACGGCAGCGGCGAGCGTCGTCGCGGCAAGGCTCGTGACGTACGAAAAGGGGGTGGTGTCACGACACGCGCGAGACTTCCCTCGGAACTTGTTCCAGTTGTACCGGTGCTCCAACTACTGTTTCGGAGCTTTCTCTCTCTCTCTATCTCTCTCTCTCTCTCTCTCTCTCTCGCGCTCTATCTCGCTCTATCTCTACCTTTCGGTCACACACACTCCGGATTACGGAGGGTGATGCGTACGCTGATAATCGCGCGGCACTACGACGAGAGCGCGATTATTGACGGCGAAGGAGGTATGCGAAATGGGTTAGGATATACCCGCGCCTGTCGCGCCGGATGACGACGATGACAACGACGACGACAACGACGAGGCGGCAAAGATGACGACGATAACGACGAGGAGGACGAGTACGAGGACGATGACGACGACGACTAATAGAGTACACGAGGGAAAAAGGCTGTCGACCTCTCGCTCGCTCTTTTGACTCCGATATTTCTCTCTCTCTCTCTCTCTTTCTTTCTCTCTTTCTCTCTCTCTCTCTCTCTCTCTCTTCCCTTGATCTTGCTTCGCCAATTACTTTACTCCTTCTCTCTCTTTCTCTCTCTCTCTCTCCTCTCTCTCCGCACTCTCCTCCACACTACCGACTACTAAAAACTAAGAAGGTGAGAGGTTACGTGGCTGCGCGGTACGGCGACTACTGATGACGGGCGGCG